AAGGCGTGCGTACTGGGAAGGGACCACATCCGTGCTATTTTTTTTTTTTAAATACACGTAGTGCTTCCTGGGTTCAGGGGAAGAAGTGGAAAATGTTTAAAATTATAAGGGCAGGCCTTCTGGATCGAGCCAAATATTACTTTTTTTTTCATAGTAGACAGCCAGATGGTCCTGGGACTCTGAATAATTTTGAGTCTTCGGAATCAGCAGCCACTGATCTACCTGCCCTCCTTGAATTTCATCTAACTCAGGGGGCATCATCGTATCTTGTGATCGGTTCCACAAGTTAATAAAGTATTGCAGGATCCAATCTGAATCAGTCCCGGGGACCAGCGCTTTAGTCTCCCCCATCCTCAGAGAAAAGTTCTCTTTCTTTTCCCTGATAACTTCTCCCCAAGGATGGGGGCTCCGTCATGGTCCGGAAGCTCGGAAGACAAAAACCTCTGGTCCCAGAGACTGACCCAGACTGGATCCTGCAACTTTATCCTGGGACACGTCGATTTGCCTTCGTTCGTAAATAAGTATTATCTGAAAAAGTCCTTTCTCTGACCTCCTCTAATTTTGCTTCCAGTCAGTTTTCATTGAATGATCCTAATGTTGAGAGAGAGAGAGAAAGAGAGAAAGAGAAAGAGAGAGAGAGAGAGAGAAAGTGAAGAAAAAGAGAAAGAGAAAAAAAGAAAGAGAGAGAGAGAGAAAAAGTGAAGAAAAAGAGAAAGAGAAAAAAAGAAAAAGAGAGAGAAAAGTGGAGAAAGAGAGAGAGAGAAAGAAAGTGAAAAAAGAAAGAGTGAAGAGAGAGAAAGAGAGAAAGTGAAGAAGAGAGAAAGACAAAGAAAGAAAGAAACAAAAGAGAAAGTGAAGAAAGAAAGAGAAAGTGAAAAGAGAAAGAGTGAAGAAGAGAGAGAAAGAGAAAGTGAAGAAAGAGAGAGAAAGAGAAAGCGAAAGAGAGAAAGTGAAGAAAAAGAAAGTGAAGAAAGAGAGAGAAGAAAGAGAAAGAGAAAAGTGAAGAGAAAGAGTGAAAGTGAAGAAAGAGAGAAAAAGAGAAAGTGAAGAAAGAGAGAGAGAAGAAAGAGAAAGAGAAATGTGAAGAAAAAGAGAAAAAGTGAAAAAAGAAAGAGACAAAGTGAAGAGAGAGACAGAGAAAGAGAGAAAGTGAAGAAAGAGACAGAAAGAGAAAGTGAAGAGAGAGAGATACAGAGAAAGAGAAAGTGAAGAAGAGAGAGAAGAAAGAGAGAGAGAGAGAGAATATTTCCGGGTCAGGCCTGCCCCCCTCAGCCCCTGTTCCTCCCTGCTAATCAGCCCCAGGTAGAAGCCAACATGGTCCGAGGCTGCCTCAAGATCGCAGGAAGCGTTTCGAGTGCTGCTTTATCCTGCAACCAGGTTATTCCAAAAATCCCCACTTCCTTCCCGGGAGCAGCCCAGCCCTTCTGCCAGACCGTGGAGGCGCTCCCCTCGCTTCTCCTAAAACCCAAAGGAGCAGAGCTGTCAACGCTCAGGAATCAGAAGTTGGGCCACTTAAGCCCAAAAGCATTCTTTAAACACAAATGTTGACTGGATTTCTTAACCAGAAGGCCACCGTGCAAAATACAGGGAGTCCCCGACTTACAACAGTTCCTTTAGTGACTGTGCAAAGTTGCAACGGCACTGAAAAAAGGGACTTAGGACCATTTTTTACAGTCTACGACCGTTGCGGCATTCCCAGGGGTCACGTGATCAAAATTCAGACGCTTGGCCACTGGTTCGTGCTCATGACGGTTGCAACGCCCCAGGTGTGTGTGTGTGTCATGTGATCCCCTTTTGTGACCTTCTGACAAGCAAAATCCATGCAGGAAGCCAGATTCACTTAACAACCAGTTTACTGACTTAACAACTGCAGTGATTTGCTTAACAACGGAGAGTTTGGGCTCAGCTGTGCTCATGAGTCTAATAATCACGCTGAGCAGCCTCCCAGCGGTTCCCGGCGGCCCCCCTGCCCCTCGGCTCTGGGGTGAGAGGGGCCTGTTGCTGACCACCCTTCGTTTGCTCTACCCAAGCAGGTGTCCTTGGAGTCCAACTCCTCCGTGAACTCCAGCACTCCCCTGGTGAGGATCACCCGCCTCTCCTCCAGCGAGGGCGCCGTGCTGGCCAACGTCTCCGAGCTGGAGCTGCCCGCGGATCCCAAGTGGGAATTGGCAAGATCGCGGTGAGGAAACCATCATCCGGGCGCGGCTTAAGAGACGGCCGCTTCCTTGTTCTCCGTGCTCACCTTCTGGCTGGTTTGCTTTTCAGCTTGACTCTCGGGAAGCCTCTGGGCGAAGGCTGCTTCGGTCAGGTGGTGATGGCCGAAGCCCTGGGGGTCGACAAGGAGAAGCCGAACAGGCCCATTACGGTAGCCGTCAAGATGCTGAAAGGTACGGAAGACGGCCGATGGCGGGAGGGGGCTGTTTTCATGAGCCTCACCTCTTTGCACTCCTGATTTCTAATCCCTCACTTCTCAAGCTTCCTCTCCGTGGACTGACTTCTGCTCTAGGGTCCCTCAGGCCTTTGGGGTCTCTTCCCTGTCCTTTCTGCAGGGGGTCCTAGACTTAACAGCCATTCGTTTAGTGACCATTCAGAGCTACAGCAGTAACCAAAAAAGGGACTTAGGACTATTTTTCATGTCCCAAAGGTGCTTTTTCCAGGAGGCAACTGGACTTTCTTGGTTTTTTTCTTTGAAGACATTTCGCTTCTCATCCAAGAAGCTTCTTCAGCTCTAACTGGATGGTGGGGAATGGAAGGATTTATACTCCTTGCAGACAGCTGGTCATTTGCCTTCTTTTAAAGGGTCATTGAGGCCACTTGGAGGTTTGTCTGTGTCCTCGGGATCACCTGAGTTGTGGAAATGGGTGTGTATCCTTCTTGGAAGTGCTGTAAGGACTGTGTTATAGACTGGAGGTAGATGATGTTGTATACCCCCCCCCTCTGTTGAGAGAGGGATGTTCAGTTTTGACATAGATGACCTCTTTGGCCCATCTTTCAAATCAGATAAACCTCCAGGTGGCCTCAACGACTCACTAAAGGAAAGCAAATGACCAGCTGTCTGCAAGGAGTATAAATCCTTCCACTCCCCACCATTTGGTCAGAACCTGAAGAAGCTTCTGGGATGAGAAGCGAAACGTCTTCAAAGAAAAACAAGAAAGTCCAGTTGCCTCTTGAAAAAAGCACCTTTGGGACAACCAGGACCTGGATGACCTATGGAGAACCTCCATAGACATCGACCAAGAAAAGACATCATGTGGACATCAAAGACATCAAATGAGGCACAACTTAGATAACTGTCTTGCTTAGCAACAGAAATTGTGGGCTCAATTGTGGTTGTAAGTCAAGGACTACCTGGGTCAAGACAACGGACGTTGTGCTCCAGTTCACCTCTCAGTTCTTCAACTGCTGCCCTTCACGGGATAAGGGAGGGAGTGGGGCATGGAAGGTTGGCTTAGAAATGCCATTCCAGAAAAGGAGGATCCCCCCCCCCCAATCCCACTCCCCTCTCTGAAGCAGAAGGGGCCTCCCTCCTGGAGAACCTCTGGGTAGTTCCCTTTACTTGGCCTGGACGTGAACCCAAACCAGCAAAATATCAGCTGTGTATCTTTGTTATAACATCCGTTGTGATCCACAATTGGAGGAAAGGTGAGGGGAAGAGTCACTGATCCCTAAAACCAGAAATAGGGTGAAATCGCCACCGACTATGGGATGCTGTGGACCTGCAAGCTGAAATGTCCGGGCACAGTTTGACACATGTGGGGCCTATGACAGAGTGTTGTGGCTCCGTCTTGTGAGCCCCTCTTATCGGAGGACGAAGGCTCCGAACATGAAGGGGAGGAGATGGCCAGGCCTCCCTCTCCAGGACCCTCCTCTCTGGCAAAGCCTCAGGTGTCTCCCGACGGAGAAGAGATTGACCAGGAGCCAGGTGTTTCTGAGATTGGCCAGGAGCCAGGTGTTTCGGATAGTGATGAAGATACGTTGTGGCTGGATCCACGCCAGCGTAGGTGCGACAAGCGTGCGCAGCAGAAAAGGAGACGTGCCAGAGATTAAGCTGAGTCACTGGACCACACCCCACAGGCTATAAAAGGGAGGTGGTGGCCATTTGGACTCTGTGACGGACAAAAGCTGAATCTCTGGCGAAGTAGTTTGCTGTGGATTGAATTTCAAACTGTGTGTATTGTTTTTTGTTTCTGTGTTCTCTGAGTAAAAGTTCTTGGCAGGCAGATACGGAGCTGCTGCCAAGTTTCTTATCTGTGGCGTGGAGTGTGGAGAAGTTATTTAACCCTCGGCTGGCTGTTTGGGTGTGTGTGTCAGACGGGGACAGAACNCTCTGGCGAAGTAGTTTGCTGTGGATTGAATTTCAAACTGTGTGTATTGTTTTTTGTTTCTGTGTTCTCTGAGTAAAAGTTCTTGGCAGGCAGATACGGAGCTGCTGCCAAGTTTCTTATCTGTGGCGTGGAGTGTGGAGAAGTTATTTAACCCTCGGCTGGCTGTTTGGGTGTGTGTGTCAGACGGGGACAGAACACAGAGATGCTTTCCTCTCACTGCTGCCTTTCTCCTCCCTTCACAGACGACGCCACAGACAAGGATCTCTCTGACTTAGTCTCAGAAATGGAAATGATGAAGATGATGGGGAAGCACAAAAACATCATCAACCTCCTGGGCGCCTGCACGCAGGACGGTACGTGCCCACAGCGGGCGGCTGTGGGGCTTTGGGCGTATTGTGCCCATGCTGTCCTGCCTCTTTCTTAAGCTTTTTCGGTTACCCTGGAAGAGGAAAACAGATTTAGGAAGAAAAACGATATTAATTAAAAATGATGAACTGGGTATGTCTGGTCCAATGAAGAGAAGGCCTAGGGGGGACATGATAGCAGTCTTCCAATATTTGAGGGGCTGCCCCAAAGAAGTGTGAGGGGGGTCAATTTATTGTCCAACGAGAAGCAACAGATAGAAACTGATCAAGGAGAGAAGCAACCTGGAAACAAGAAGGAATTTCCTAACAGTGGGAACAAATAATCAGTGGAACAACTTTGCCTTCAGACATTGTGGGTGCTCCATCACTGGAGGTTTATAAGAAGAGACTGGACAGCCATTTGACCAGGATGGTATGGGGTCTCCTGCTTGAGCAGAGGGTTGGACTAGAAGATCTCCAAGGTCCCTTCCAACCCTGTTATTCTATGTTCTATATGTATGCTCTACTCTTAGAATAGAATAGAGCTGGAAGGGACCTTGGAGGTCTTCTAGTCCAGCCCCCTGCTCAAGCAGGAGAACCTATACCATCTCAGACAAGTGACTGTCCGGTCTCTTCTTAAAAACCTCCAGTGAAGGAGTGCCTGCGATTTCTGGTGGCAAGCTGTTCCACTGGTTAATTGTCCTCACTGTCAGGAAGTTTCTCCTTAATTCCAAGTTGTTTCTCCCTTTGGTCAGTTTCCATCCATTGCTTCTTGTCTTGCCTTCAGGGGCTTTGGAGAATAGCTTGACTCCCTCTTCTTTGGGACAGCCCCTCAAATACTGGAATACTGCTATCATGTCGCCCCTATTTCTTCTTTTCTTTATTCTGGCCAAACCCAAGCCCCGCAGCCGTTCTTCTTTTGTAATTAATTACTGGCGTGCAAAAGTCACGTCTCAATTGCCCTGAAAGACCAATATGAAATATAATTTAAGTATTTAAATTATAATTTAAATACTTCACTTAATCAGTGCTAGTAATCCATTTCTCTGCAGAGGGTTGTGTCTGCACACATTTCTCTGACTTACCAGCATTTGCGGAGCAGCTAACGTTCCACCTAGAAGGAATATTGAAGTGAAGTGGGTTCCATGCTATTGTTGCACTGAATTGATGCTTTAAAAAGAAAGATTATTAAAAAGGAAAATATTACTCTTATTGTGATGCACAGAACCATTTCTAGCAGTTCTAGGCTGCTTATTCTAGAACCATCTCAAGTGTTGCAACTGCAACTCCTGAATCTAACTGCAGATGCCCCAAAATCAGAATCTTTGGGCTGGAAGGGACCTTGGAGATCTTCTAGTCCAACCCCCTGCCCAAGGCAGGAGACCTTATTGCATCCTGGACAAATGGTTGTTCAATCTCTTCTTAAAAGCCTCCAGTGATGGAGCACCCGCAACTTCTGTAGGGAAGCCGTTCCACTGGTTAACTGATTCTCATAGTCACGAAATTTCTCCTAAATTCCACACTGGATCTCTCTCTAATAAGCCTCCACCCATTGTTTCTTGTCCTGCCCTCAGGTGCTTCGGACAATAAGCCAACCCCTTCTTCTCTGTGAAGAGAAGCAATTTCATTTTGGTCTTCTGCAATGCCTGTTTTTATTCTAATCCCTGTGAAATGATGTCACCAGAAAAGACTATCCATTTTCTGATGGTATCTCATGGTAATCTCCATGTGACCCTACCCAAAAGCCAAGCCCCACCACCTTCTCCCTCAGTGTCCTTGCTTTCTGCCTTCTCCCGTTGAGGTCCTACTCAAAGTAAAGGAGGTGGATTCTGCCTCTTCAAAATCACTCTAACCTGGAGGAAACCTCACAGGTAGAATTATATGCGTGGAAATTCCCACATGAGCTCAGATTTTCCACTTTGGAAAATTGGAACCCAGCAGAAAGCTTCGTGGGTGTTCAGGAAGGCATCTCAAGACATCTCAAATGAGTTGTCCTCAGGGCAACCCTGAAGAAGGCCTTGGATTAGTCAGTAAATCCCCTTTTTCTTAGCAGTTCCTGGCATGGCCTGGGCATCTGGGCTCCTTTCTGAGGAGTGGCTGGAAGAAAGCTGATTCTTCCAGTTTGAGCTTTGATGTCTGTAGCTTGAAGACATCCCCGTAACCATGTCCATCTTCACCCACCCCTTGTCACCTTGTTCAATTGTTACGGTACAGCTCCTCTTTCCAACGTTGAAGTTAACACAATCCATCACGGAACTGAAGTTCCTCTCTTGTAGAATGAAAGGACACACCAGTCCTAAAATGAGTGGCAAGCTGCCAGGAAAGCTGGAGAATATGTCAAACAGTAATGGATGGTTTTCTCCAGGTCCTCTCTACGTTCTTGTGGAATATGCCTCCAAGGGGAATTTAAGGGAATACCTGAGAGCTCGCCGGCTACCTGGCATGGATTATTCCTTTGATACCTGCAAGCTTCCTGAGGAACAGCTGACCTTCAAGGACTTGGTCTCCTGTGCCTACCAGGTGGCCCGTGGAATGGAGTATCTGGCATCTCAAAAAGTGAGTAGCCAAGCATTTGCCAAAAAGCAGACTTCCAGAGGCTAGAAAAGATGGCTTATAATGGGAACGTGGAACAAAACCACTACGTTGTATTAAGGCAGTGTTTCTCAACCTTGACAATTTTAAGGCATGTGGACTTCAACTCCCAGAATTCCACAGCCAGCAATGCTGGCTGTGGAATTCTGGGAGTTGAAGTCCACATGCCTTAAAATTGTCAAGGTTGAGAAACACTGTATTAAGGAGACAAGAATAACATTGGGCCAGATATCTAAGAAAGGAGATAAATAGTCTAGAAGAAGTAGAAGAAGTTGAAATGGTATTTATTTAGAAGTGAATCAGCATACAAAGTTCTGTCTTGGAGATGGAATAGCTAAACGTTGATTTGAAGACGATATATTTTATTCCTTTGGGTGCACAAAATGTGGGATGCGTAGACCAAAAGTGTACTGCATCTTGAAGAGAGCATGAAAGATTAACTGAAATTAAATGAATTAATTTCACTGTTAGATGCCTCAAACAAAAATTGAGCAGCCTATTGAAGCTGAAACTGGTGAAGCTGCTGCATTGTAAAATATTGTGAAACTTAGATCAACGGGAAACACGTTGCTTCGTTTGCTGTTTAATGGGGAAAATTGCCTTTTAAGAAAAAAAAAATAGATCCGTTACCCTTCTCCTATTTCTCAAAATGATTCTTTTGGCAATGCCCCAATCTGAGCATAACCATAATTCCTCAAAGACGGTCAAATTCCAGAGTTTTGGAAATATAATTCAACGTAAAAACATCTTTAACATTGAGGGATTTCCCTATAAATCTTCTTGTGTAATAAGATCTGCAAAATCCAGTAATTCAGAGATCAAACC